GAAGCAGTTATCACCATCTGACACGTGCCAGTAAAGTAAGAATGAAATTTTTTGTTCGAGTTAGTTGAATTATTCATCTGTTGTAACTTAAAAGTTTGTATTTTTATTTAGAGGAATGATGCATGCGCATAAAAATAATCTAATGTAACACTCAAGTTCAGAAATTGGGTAGGTGGGATTTCAACTGAACAACTATCGAATATGAGGGTTGTGTGAATATTTTTATTGTACATGCATTATTTTTCTTTTATGCATGTGCTATTGTACAGTTAAATTTTTTATTCATCAGTTATATATTTTTACGGTAGTTGAATGGTGAATTTATGGAGGATAATTCATTTTAATAAAGTATTTAAAATATTTTATGATAAAATTGGTTGTTTAAATAGAAAATTTAAATAAAAATTAGAATTTTAGAAATTGATGAGAGTATTTTGACTAATTAAAATAAGAAAATTCTAAATTTTATCTAAAAAATAAGAATTTGAAATTTTTTGTATTTTTATTTCTTAAATTTATGTTTGTTTTTTTTAATATTTTCTTTCCCTTGATTTCAATTAAAATATTTTTTATTCATCTCAACTTGTTTTAATATGAGTTAACCTAGCTCGATACAAATTAGCATGAACTAGTATGAATCTGATCCGTTTTGATTTGGTTTCAAACCATCTGGACTTGATCAATCTCGATCTAATTCATTTTATATTAATCTATCTTGACCTAACTTGTCCTAACAAAATCTAACCTTTCTTATCATGTTCAACCTAACTAACTAAAAATAAACTTACCTCATCTTGATCTAATCAACTTAACTCATCTAGATCTGACTCTATTCTTCTTGATTTAACCTCTCTTAAGTTGACACATCTTGTCTTGGTCTAGTCCAACCTATTGAATCTCAAACTGTCTTATTCACTTACAACTCGATTTGACCCATTTAAACCTAACTCAACTTTAGATGATTGGATTCATCTTGACACAACTAATACCAACATAATCCGACATGATCTGACTCATCCCAACATGATTGTCTCTAACCTGACTTGAACCAACTTTCCTTATATAGTGAAATTTGTTTTGATCGGGTTTAATTTTATTGATTTGATTTATCTCGATCTCACTTAACTTCGATTTAATATGTCATTATTTATCTCTCGTTTAATTTTATCCATGTGGATAAAGATAAGAATTATGAGTTTCATGACATAATGATAATTTTTATATTTGATAATAATTAAAATACTTTATTCAAACAAAAAAATTAAATCTAAATAAATTTGAATTTTTTTATCTAAACAAATCATTTAAAAATTAAATTATTTTAAATAAAAATAATTCAAATTTAAAGTATTTGAATTTCCTATAAATTACAGAAGGATTTTCTAAAAGAAGATATTGCTATAATTTTTATGTTAAGATTCTTAAGGTCAAAATTGTGATACAATGACTCAGGTATCAATAACTTCACCGGTTTGAACTAATTTTTTATTGTGTATCTTATGGAGCATATTTATCCAGTCTACTACTCCAAATCAATGTGACAAGAAAACTCATGTTATTTAGCCAATATGTAATTGCATATTTTTTACCACCTCACAACGGCGACAGGTTACAGAATTTTGCACATGCAAATTATTATTTGTATGTGATGCGTGATCGAAGTTGTAACATAGATAGGTCTTCGAAAATGTGATAATGTTCAATAAAAAGAAGAATAAACCATAAAGTTGAATTATCACTTGCCCCTCCCTTGTAATAGTGTCTAAACTAATAATATTATAAGTAATATAAATTATTGAATATCCATTAATTTATTATGCATTCATACATTTGAAGAACTATTCAATACTCGAGTAATATTTCTATTTTTTAATATATATATATATATATATATATATATATATATATAATTTCATATGCATCATTATGTAAAAGGATTTTAAAAAAAATTCTTCATCATTTATAAAATAATATTATCATTTATCAAATAAAACATAATTAATTTTATTATATTAAGATAGGAAGAGATAATGAACAAAAAATAGTTATTATAATGTTATATATTTGAAAAAGATGACAAAGAAAAAACTGGGTAATATTATGAAATTTTAAATATTAATGGTTGTATGAACTTGTTTATGTGGTGAATACAGTTTCATTTTCAATGTCTCTCTCTTTATACGCTTTTCTCTCGATACTTGATTTAGACCTCTTTTCGCTCATAATGATATTAAAAGCTTTAAGATCTAGAAAGAAGAAGAATGACGATAATAGAAACTGGGTTGCATGACAACATGCTAGTACTCGATAGCAAGAATCTAAATAGGTACTACGACAGGTTGTTGTATGAATATGAATGTCATTTTTTATTTTCAAGAAGTATTGGATATAGTTCTGAATGGATATGAGGGACTAGTAGAGAGTCCTACCGAGGAACAACGTGCGATGTTTCAAGAGAAAAAAAATTGATTGCAAAGTTATGTTTTACGTTCATCGAGTGTGTCTCGATGAAAGCAACTTTGACAAGATTTTATTAGCAAACTCGATGAAGAAGTTTGAGATATATTGATGTGACTTTAAACCTTGCGTCGTCGAGTAGAAATTGTTATGAATGAGAATACAAGAAACCATTCAAGAATACTTTGCAAGAGTGTTAGCTTCCAATGACTCAAGTGATGTCAAAATCGAAAGCAAAAATTGATCAATTATTGAGTTCAAAAAAGGAGGAAATCGATCGAGATCAGAGATCAAAGTTAAAAATCGATTGTTTTCGAAGTCGAAAAAGGCAAAAATCAAGCTGATTTCGGGAATCGAAGGAAGGACAAATTGACCTACAAGATTGATTAGAACACCAGCGAGACTCAATGATTATGTGATCAATATTGATGATATTGTTACAACAATCGAACAGATGATTGGAGAAATGGAGCATGAGAATAATCTTGTATCTCTGGCATTGAATGCCGATATCGAGACTAAACCAATTTTCTTTGAAGAAGTGATCGAGAATCCTAAGTGGATTGAAGCCATGAAAGAGGAGTTGTAGTCAATCGAAAAGAATAAAACATGGGAATTAATTGATATTTGAGATAATCAAAGGCTAATATGAGTAAAATGGGTGTACAAGGCAAAGTTGAAGTTCGGATGAAATAGTTGCAAGACATAAAACTAGACTTGTGGCGAAAGACTTTCTACAAAGAGAAGGATTAGATTACAAAGAAGTGTATACTCTGTTGCCAAGATGGAGATGATAAGAATAGTTGTAACTCTCGCAAATTATAAAGGGTGACAGATGCGTCAATTGGATATAAAATCTACATTTTTGAATGGTGAATTGAAGGAAGAAGTTTATGCTACACAACCACCAGAGTTTATGATCACCGGAGAAAAAGCGAAGGTTCTTAGATTGAAGAAGACGTTGTATGACTTGAAATAGGTCCCGAGAGCCCGAAACACTAAAATCGATGGTTATCTTTGACAATAAAGATTCTTGAAATGTGAAGTCGAGTATACAATTTACTAGAAATCAAAGGAGATGATATGTTAATTGTTTATTTATATGTTGATGATTTATTTATTACATGCAGTAAAATTAATTCGATCAATAATTTTAAAAGGAGGATGCAAGATCAGTTTGAGATGTCCGATCTAGGGAAGTTGTCGTACTTTTTTGGAATGAAATTCATCGAAAGCAGGAAAAATATTTTGATTCACTAAAGTAAATATACTAAAGAAATACTCAAGAAATTTAGGACAAGATAGTGTAATGCAACAATTACACCAATCGAGACAAATTTGAAGCTTGGCAAAAATGAAGATAGAAGTATGTAAATGTTATAGTTTACAAACAAATGATTGGTTGGTTAAGGTACTTGTGTTGTAATAGACCATATATCTATTTTGGTGTTGGGTTGCTGAGCAGATTTTTGGAGAAACTCAAAACATCTCATCTTACAACAACCAAGAGAGTTTTAAAGTATATAAAGGGAACGATCAATTATGATATTTTATTATCAAATGTTACACATCAAAATGGAGAAGTGTTGATTGAATATTTTGATTCGATCTGGGTTGATGATAAAATTTGTTTCATAAGCACGTCAAGTTATGTATTCCCTTTTGAAAAAATTACTCGATTTCATGATCGAAATTACAACTTGTTGTGACACTCTCCTCTTGTAAAGCTGAGTACATAATTACTAGTTACACAACTTGTCAAACACTATGGACCAATAATTTAGTGAATAAATCGATTCCTTGAAAGACTAAATAAGATTATGAAATTGACTATTAATAAAAAACCAATCTTAATTTAGTGAAAAATTTATTTCATTATAAAAGAAACAAATATATTATATTGAAATTTTATTTGATCAAAGATAAAAATAAATATATTAGATTGATGTTTATTTCATTAGAAAGGAAAAGAGAATTAATTACTAATTTTTTTATAATTGTTTGACGAAGTATCTTAAAAAAATTAATAAGTGTAAAACAAATAAATAAAGAGAATAAGGTAGATAATGAATATTTTAAAATTGATTAAAAAAAGAATTATACGAGTAAAATGAATTAATTGTTTAAAAATAATTTGTAAAAATAAATTTATATTTTAGATTGTCCATGCTTGCTGTGTTGAAAATACCTTCTTAATGTCATTTTTTATTTTTTCCAAAAGCTCTAGTCACAACATTCATTCGTTTCCAAAGTAGTAACCCTTGCCACATTTAAGAAGCTGGATTTAGTGGCCAAACAAATCAAACAAACAGTATCTCGTAGTTACACACACCGGTCAACCTTACTCAAGAGTCTTTCACGCGCATTTACGTTGTTCCTCTGCACCCTCCAATGTCCATTCCTCTCCCACTTCACCGTGTTCACTCACAGAACAGAGTTAAACAGTGTGTTGCAGAGAGTGAAAAGGAAAAAAGGAAGAAGAAACAATGCCTCCAAACATATATTATTTGTCGTCTGTGGCAAAACAAGCGGAGCAACTTCGAATGGATGGCAACAACTACTTCAAGAATCATCGTTTTGGAGATGCCATTGACGCTTACAGTGAGGTGTCGCTTTGTTTTGTTTCAATCACACTTGCATCGCTTTGTACTTTAAGGGCTTTTGGGTATTCTCAACTTTGGTTCATGTTTTCATGTTTTTAACTTTTGGTGATTTTCTTTGTTTCTTTATTTATCCCTTTTCTCATTTGATTTTCAAGGCAATTGCACTGTGCCCTGATGTTTCGGTGTATTGGACCAACCGTGCTCTCTGTCATCTTAAGCTCAAGTATGATTTTGGAACCTTCCCTGCTTTATTTTCCATTTCCTTTTTTTCATTATTATAAAAAAAAAAAAAAACTTCACCTTTATATTATAATCTTATGATTCTATAATATTATCATTATCTTATTTCTCTTTAATATCATTAGAACTGAATTTAATATTTATTTTTATTTCACTTAACTCCATAAAACTGATTTGATAAAGGAAGGATTATACTTATCAATTTATTATAATATATCAGATCTACAATATTCTGGATCTGACATGTTGTATTACATTGAATAATATAAGTAAATGATAACTTTCATCGTTTAAACTAAGCATATTTTATGTTCTAAAGTTAAACTCAAGATCTAATTTTATTTATTGATATTTTGATTGACTAAAGTGATACTTTGGTCATTGATAGTGTAGTACTTTACATGCAATTCGACTTAGTCCCTACTACAAAAAGCAAAAAGAAGTGAAATGAGTTTGGATAGTTTAAGGGTTGAATTTTGATGTGTTATTTAAGTTAACATATTAGTTTACTTCATTTTGTTTGGAATTTTTCTTTTTGTTTTCTTTTTGAAGTACCCTGTTTATTTCTGATGCTTGCAGTGATTGGAGCAGAGTAGAGGAAGACTCTCGTCAAGCCATCAAGCTTGACAACAATTTGGTTAAGGTATTGGTCATCTACTTGTTATTTTTATGTAATTCTTTAATGGAATACCTACTAAACATTCTATAGGAGATTTTACGGAAATTAAGAATATGTAAATTAGTGTAAATCCCATTTTATTAATAATTTTGTAAATTTAAACTAAATTTAATCTAAATATCATGTTTTCCTTAATACGAGAAATATACTAGAAATCCCACATATACTTCTTCTATATACATATCTTAATATCATTTCACTCTAGTTTTACATTAATGATACAAGATGAGAGTGATTGCATTCAATATATAATTAGTTGGATGACCAAGTTATTCATAATTTTGAAACTGAAAGTTGATTGAGTGAGTTTGTTTTTATTTTCATATATTTTTTTGTTGTTGAAATACTTTAATTGAATTCAAATGTATATAAAGTATAGATATGTAATAACTCATATATTAAATGTGTTATGGTCATTATTTATTAAGCCAAATAATAAAGTGATCTGACTAAATTAAAGTTTTGGCTAAAAGCATATGTCATGAAAATAAAATTGTGTAGAGACCATAAGATCAATATAGTGCTCTACAAAGACATCATCGTTATGGCTAATTCAGGTACGCTTTCGCATTCAGTTTACAGCATGTTTATCGAGTATGGGATTATGTTTATGTTTGATTGTTAGAATCAAAATCGGGATTATTATTATTATTATTATTAATTTTCCAACAATTGGTATCGAGTCGCCCATATTTGATTCATGTTCTGTTTAATTTATAGAACCCTAATTATGAAAATTAGGATTAATTTTGTTTTAAACAATTCAGATTACCCAATTTTATGAACCCTAAGTGGAGGATAATCTCTAATTTTTGTGAACCCTAAAATTTAAATTTGGGGGTAACATCCCCAATCTGATTCACGCTTGTCGATGGAACCGTGGAGGAAGCTATGGATTCTTCTTGTTCTTCGTTTTTCACTTTTGTTTCAGTTTAAGTTTCAAGTTTTACTTGAGAAAGAAACGAGTGTTTCATATTTCAATTTTTCTTGTATTGGGTTCTCTCGTTCTTTTTTGAATCTTTTGTTTTTATTTAATTTTATGGGTTTGGAATTGGGGGTGGTGTTTGTGGAGTTCCCAATACGGAGAATCTTAGGTAAATGATGAATGTTTCCACATGTTTGGTCGTTATTATTTTATTGCCTCTATCCCCTAGGAATTTAAAGAAAATTTGATGTTAAATTAGGGTCCGAGTGATTACTTGTTTAATTCCCTTTTAGGGTTTAGAAGCAGTATGCTAAAGAGACTCGGAACTATCTCTGTTTCATCCCTAGTGTGATTTTAGGAAGATGTTCATCCTTTAGGTATTGGTGGAAAATGAGGCCTTTTTTCATCCTTTGATTTGTTCGGATGAGGTGTTCATCCCTAATGAGATTCTAGGGAGATGTTCATCCTTAGTAGAATTATAATGAGGTGATTCTCTTTTGAATTAGTTTGCAAATATTAAATATTTGGTTTTGTTATATAAATAAAATATTCAATTTTTGGTAGTTTAATATTTTTTGTGAGCAAATTGAGTCAAGAAGTCACCAAAGTAACTTCTCTTGAATTGGGCAGTTCATGAAAAATATTGAATGTTAGTGTTTGTGTATATTCATGCGAGTATTAGTCGGCCCAAAGGAAGATTAATATTTGGCCGAATTGCATACACACTTGTAATGATAAACATGTGATAATTATAAGGATTTGCTTTGTCGATGATAAATCAATCCAAAGACTGGTTTGTTGTTGGACGTGCTTTATTGTCAATGTTTGATTATTACAACAAGATACCTCTAGCAGTTAATATTACTTGTCTAAAGACTTGATATTGATGGTGCATTGGGTATCTTGAGATGGGTTAAACCACTATTTGAATATATATTATTTATTTTTTATATAATGTGAGCATAATTAGTTTATTTCTCGTGTTCTAAATTCAGCTACAATTGCTTCGTATTCTGCCAATTTAAATTGCTTCTAGGTCCTCAATGGAACAAATTTTAAGGACTGGAAAGAGAACATTGATATTGTTCTTGGTTGCATGGATATGGATTTTGCGTTAAGGATCGAGCAAACCCCTACTCTTACGGATTCAAGTACCTCACGAACAGAAAAGAGATTATGAGAAGTGGGATCGCTCAAATCGCATGAGTCTAACGATCAATAAGCATGGCATCCCGGAGGTGTTTAGGGAGCACTGTTTCGAAAACATCACAAGTGCCAAAAAATTCCTTGCTGAAATTGAGCGGCGCTTTGCAAAAAGCGATAAGGCGGAGACAAGCACTCTTCTTCGAACTTGATCTCCATGAAATATCAAGGCAAAGGAAATATCGGGGAATACATTATGAGCATGTCTAATATTGTTTTTAAACTCAAGACACTAAAGCTTGAACTCTCAGAAGACTTGCTCATTCATTTGGTGTTGATTTCTCTTCTTGCAACGTTTAATCAATTTAAGGTATCTTACAACTGTCAGAAGGATAAATGGTCTCTTAATGAGCTCATTTCACATTGCGTACAAGAAGAGGAAAGACTAAAGCAAGACAAGACAGAAAGTGCTCATTTTTTGCAAGCACCTCCAAGGCTAAGGGCAAAAAGAAAGAGATCGGAGGATCTCGAGAAAGAAGGTGCTAAGGGTCCGAACAAAAGAAACAAACTCAAGAAAACAAATATTTCTTTTGCAATAAGATTGGACACGTAAAGAAGAAATGTGCTAAATATCATGCTTGGCGTGAAAAGAAAGGGTTGCCTAAACTACGGAAGCCAATTGATTCCGAAAGATGGATTTATGTTGGAGATGACAAATCGGTAGAGGTGGAAGCTATAAGTCATTTTAAATTATTATTAAGTACTGATTTTTTATTTGAATTTGAAAGACACTTTTGTTATGCCGTCATTTAGACGGAATTTGGTTTCAGTTTCTTATTTGGACAAATTAGGTTATTTATGTTCATTTGGAAACAATAAGTTCAGTTTGTCTTTTAATTCAGATATTGTTGGAACTGGTTCACTTTTAATTTATGATAATCAGTATTTACTTGATATTGTGGCCACCTATAATGAAACCCTTAATGCAGAATCATGTGGTACTAAACGTAAAATTGAAAATACTCACTCAAGTGCATTATGGCACAAGTGCTCGAGTAACATCAAATTGTAACGTTTGGGCTTATGTTACACTCTTAAAGATATGGTAGAGAGTATGATTTGTCATTCCACCTTACTTGGAATCACTTTGGGGAGAGACACTAAATATGACGACTTATATTCTAAACAGCAGTACCAACTAAAGCAACTACCAAAACACCTTATGAGCTTTGGATTGGGCGACAACTTAGTCTGAAGCATTTCCATGTGTGGGATTGTCCAGCTGAGGCAAGACCTTATAAGTCAAATGAAAAGAAATTGGACTCCCGAACAGTAAGTGGTTATATTATTGGTTATGCTGAAAGATCCAGGGGATATAAATTTTATGATCCCACATTAAAGACATTTTTTGAGACGGGAACTGCTACGTTCTTTGAGGATATTAAGTTTGGGGGGAAGAATAAGATTAAGAACTTCATCTTGGAGGAAGAATCGGTAACAATTTCAGAACCAATTCAAATAGTTACTTTTGATAAAGTAAGTTCGAAACCTCCACAAGGCATTGTTGATGAACCCCTTACTCAAGATGATTTGGTTGTTCATGAAGAACAAACTCAAGATCCTCAAGAACCTGTGCATCATGAGCTAATAACTTTGCAGAGATCCACTAGAGAAAGAAGAAGTGTTATTTCGGATGATTACATGGTATTTCTTCAGGAACATGAGGAAAATAATGATATAATGGAAGATGATCCAGTTAACTTCCGTCAAGCTATATAAGGTTCTAAATCTCAAAAGTGGATTGAAGCAATAGGATAAGTATAAGTCCATGCAAGACAATAAGGTTATTGGGAACTTGTCCCATTACCAGAAGGTATGAAACTCATTTGGCTTCAAGATGAATATTGTTGATGATTGTATGTATCACAAGTTTAAAGGGAGACAAGTTTAGTCTCAATCAGTGCCCAAAGGGAATTTGGAAATTGAGGAAATGCAAAAGATTCCCTATGCATCAGTTGTAGGGAGTTTGATCTATGCCCAAGTATGTATGCATCTAGACATAGCATATATAGTTGGGGTTCTAGGCAGATATTTAAGCAATCCAGGAATAGACCATTGAAAAGCAGCAAAAAGGGTCATAAGATATTTAAAGAGAACAAAAGATTATATGCTCACATATAGGAGGTCAGACCAGTTGGAGATCGCTGGGTTTTCCGACTCGGATTTTGTAGGATGTCAAGAATTTGTAACTTGCTATGATGTATCAAATCATGGAATATGGTCGATAAATTTTGTCACGGACTCGCAAATTGTGAAAGGCATTGAAAGACCACTTAAGTTATATTGTGACAATAAATCAGCTGTATTGTTAAGGAAAGAGTACAAAATGGACAGATTTTCATAGAACACTTAAGGACAAACTCCATGATACCAGATCCTCTGACTAAAGGACTTCCGCCCAAGGTCTTTCATGAGCATTTTGCTCACATGGGTGTTTTACAATTTGAGGAATTTGTGGTTTAGTGGGAGTTAGTCACTTTTATATATTTTATGTTCTATGTTTAATTTCATATATGTATACATTGTTTTTTGGACATATTTGGTTATCTATAGATATGCGGTTTTTTCGTTCATTCATTACACTTTGTACATTAAGGATATTATATCGATCTCAATAACTTAAAGTTTGGACCAGTTGAAAATAGACGTGTACAGATCACCTTCACGTAATTTTTCATGCTACACATTTCATGATGAATCCATGTCATTTGGTTATGTTAGGATGAGTAATCATTGTTGGTTTTAGTTGCGATGATGCAATGAAAAGCTGGTTTGGTTCTATATCCTAATATGATTAATGGACAGGACTTTTGGAGTATGCTAAAGGAATATAATGGCAATTTTGAGCTCATAAAGTCTAACACATTTGTAAGGTTGTAAGGACATATATATTTGTGACCAGTGGGAGATTGTTGGAAAAATTTGGGTCATGTATATATATGATACATAATTTAAATGTGTTAGGGTCATTATTTATTAAGCCAAATAATAAAGTGATCTGACTAAATTAAAGTTTTGGCTAAAAGCATATGTCATGAAAATAAAATTGTGTAGAGATCATAAGATCAATATAGTGCTCTACAAAGACATCATCGTTATGGCTAATTCAGGTACGCTTTCGCATTCAGTTTACAGCATGTTTATCAGTATGGGATTATGTTTATATTTGATTGTTAGAATCAAAATCAGGATTATTATTATTATTATTATTAATTTTCCAACATTCAAATGTATATAAAGTATAGATATGTAATAACTCATAGGACATGTCGCTCCTTTTATTATTTTTTTTATTTTTATTTTTTTACTGTATAAATCATGTAAGTTTTAATTGTATTTTGCAGTGTTGATCTTGGTTTCTTTTTCTCTTCATCTGGTTTCCTTCTACATTGCCCTGCTTCTGATCACTTACCTGTTTTTTTTCTCCCCGGTTTTTCCATTTTAAAATAGATGAGACGAATGATATTGAGAGGTAGGAATATCTAAAGCTAAGTTTAATATTGACCAAATCCTACATACTTATGCAGTGTGGTTCTCTTCGGAGTCATATTCTTCTGTGAACACATTTCGCGAAATATTTAGTATTAGTTTGTATGGGAGTTGTCTACAGTTTATTAACACGAGTGGTATGAGAGTTTTGAGTTTACATTTTTTTTATATCATATCATTTATATCTTATTGTTTTCGTTGATATACTTTTTCAGAATTAACTGCTGCTTTTCTTTTTGCCAATTCAGGCCCACTATATGTTAGGTCTTGCATCGGTGCACAGACAAGAGTTTGCTAAAGGAATCTTAGAATTGAAGAAGGTTTGTATTCCTTCTCCATTGATGTCACTTGTTTCCGATATTCTTAAAAGGATTTTTTACATGTTTTATGATACAATAGCTAATATTGAATAAAGATTATGGATAAACATAATATATTATTAATAAATAATAAATAAATATAAAATTTGTATATTAAGTTTTGCTAATATTTCATTCTTTTCATATGCTTTTTTAAAAATATCAAATTAGAGAATATTTATCAGGAATAAAAAAATTTGTTGGTAGTTTTTTTTTTCATTCACATTGAATATTTTTTTACCTCTTATTTTTTATGCATGACAAGTTTCTGATTGGTTATGGTCATTATTAATAGGCTTTGGATCTTGATAGAGGTCCCCATTCTAAGGGCCAAATGGTGGAGGAAATATGGCAAGAGCTTGCTAAAGCACGATACCTAGAGTGGGAACATTCATATACTAAGCGATCATGGGAACTGCAGAGCTTGAAGTATGTTTTTCTGGTGATTATTGGACCTATAAACTTTAGGTCATTCCTTAATTCTTGGTTTTCTGTGTACTGTAACTCATTTGTTGGTTAGAGAGTAATATCTACAGTTATTCTCAGAGAAGCTTGTGGGTATGCTCTAAAGGAAAAACATTTTCTTGAAGCCCCCCACATGAAGGGATTCGTAGAAGATGGTACTACCCATTTAGAACAGTTAGAAGCTTTAGGAAGAGTGTTTGATGAAGTTGCAGAATATGACATGCCTACTGAGGTACCTACAATACTCATCTTTTGGTTTGTCTTCCTTGTAACTTTCGAAGTCCTTGCAACTGTCTATATTATTTATCCATTTTGTCAATTGTTTTAGGTGCCAGATTATCTATGCTGTAGAATCACACTTGATATTTTTTGTGATCCTGTCATCACCCCAAGTGGACTTACATATGAGAGGACAGTGATTCTTGACCATCTTGAGAAGGTAAGTTGAATTGTATGTTCCATCCATGAGGTAAATATTTTGGATTTCATTTAAGGCGTTACATCCTTTTAACTTGTCTAAAATTAGGTGGGTAAGTTTGATCCAGTCACTCGAGGTCCACTTGAGCCATCACAGTTAATACCAAACCTAGCCATAAAGCAAGCAGTTGAGGCATTCCTGGATAAACATGGGTGGGCATATAAAGATATATTAACAAAAGGCTTTTAGGAGTTTGTCTTTGGTTTTCTGTTCTTGCCCGATGAAGTGTTCCTCTGTGTGTGACACTAGGCTTTGAACATGTGAGATATTATGAAATGCACATATGAATGTAATTGAGTCATGTCTTACTGATTATGCGTAAACTTTATGCATGGCAATCTTTTGAAAGAGTTCTCTTTTTACTTGTATATGACTGATATTTGCTTATGAGAAATTTTTCCCTCAAAACTATTTGTTTATTTATTTCATGTATTGACCCTCTCACGCAAGGTATTGTAATTGTAATTGCAATGTCGTCGTGAGTGAGTAATTATTTGCATTATTTTCTTCTTTTTTATTAATTTTCCTTCTGTAATTTTTGCATTTTGCGAATAGTTGAAGTTTGTAAAGTAGTAAAGAAATGATGAAATTAAGATGTACAGTTGTAAAAGTTAAACTTAGAATTTAATTTTATACGAAAATATAATTTATCAATTAAACGTGGAATATATATATATATATATATATATATATATATATATATATATATAATTTTTTATTAAAAATAAGAGTTAAAAAAATTATTTTTTATTTTTATTTTTTTATAATTTAATAATTAATATCAATTATTATTTTAGATATGATATTATTATTTACTTTTATATATAAATTTGATACATAGTAATGATTTTATCCATCGTTTTTACGTGGAGGTAGAATTTTTAAGATTGTGAGAATTCAACATATTTTAATTTTTTTATCAATTTTTTAACTTATTATATAAAAATTTTAATATGAAAGTAATTTCATTGTTATTATATGAAAAGGGAATATATATTTAAAATTGTTATTTTTAATTTAAATTTTTATAAAAATAAATATGAATTAATTTTATAAAAATTGGTATTTTTAATTAAGTATTATAAAAAATATAGATAAAGAATAGAGAAGAAAGACAAGAGAGTGGGGAGAGAAAAAGTTAAAGTATAAAAAAAAGATAGAAAGAAAAGAAAATTTAAAGATTTTAATTATATATATATATATATATATATATATAGTCTAAAAGACCTCAAACATAGTTTACGTTAGAAAAAATTTTGTGGTATAAATTAAATTAAGTCTATTTTAATCAAGTCTGATTATACTACAGTTTTGAACTAGGTTAACATGTATACTTATGGGTCGATATGTTTTATAGAATAATAATTATTTTTAAAATTTATCTTATTAAAAAATATATATATGATAAATTAATTTAATAAAAATTTAATTATTTTAAGAGAAAATATGAGAGAAAGTTTCTAACAAACATTCATCTCAAGTTCTAATAGTTAAAATTAATTATTATATTAAATCAATATATTTAAAATAAAATTATAATAATTAAGAGAAAGTTTTAACTTTTATTTTAAGATTTAAAGAATTCATTCTTCTATAATTTATATATTAAATTATTATATCTTAAATAAAAACTAATTTCATTAAAAAAAATTAAAAATATATTTTGATTTAAATATTTTTTAATTAATTGTTTTAATATAAATATATCAATAATTTTTTTTAATTTTCATTCCAACTAAATTTCTATTGATAGTTCATTTTAAAATATGATTATATTGGGTCATCAATTTTTTAGGTTAGATTAGATCTCTCATTTTGATAATTCTATTATATATTATTATAATAATTATAATATAATTTAATAAAAATTAAAAAAATATTATTATAATAATAAATAAAGTTGTTAGATAAATATAAAAATAATATAAAAAAAGATAAAAAGAGAATGAGTAAATTGAAAGATTGAGACAAGGAAGCAAGATAAAGAATAAGATGGGAGAGAGAAACATAAGAGATAGTGAAAAGATATAAGTTGATAAAAAGGAGAATTTATAAAAGTTTCAAATTTTAAAATTGTGTCATTTGAAGTAATTATAATATTAATATTTTAAAATTAAACTGTTTATTGAATTTTTCGTTCCATGGTTCAATAATGGGACAGATTGATATTATTTAAATTATTATAATAATTACATAATATTAAAAAATATAAGAACATAATTCTGTGATGTTAAAATTTGAAATAAAGTGCAAATTTGTAGATTTGTATATTTAAAATGCATATAATTTTAAATATAACTAACGTCTAGACTTTAACTTTCGTTAAACTACTGCAACATGTAGTTTTTTTTTTTTTTTTTTTACAATAATAATAGCAAACACGTTTTAATAAGAAATTAGAAAATTAGTGAAATTGAATACAATTAACTGATTTTTTTTTCAATTTGTCTTATTTCCAAGAATGTGGTATTTCCTAAAAAATGTTTTAAAATTCCAATCTAAACATAACATTAAATTAATTATTATAAGAGTGAATAAATTTATCTTCATAAGTTTTTATTAGATAATATTATGAAGTTTAATGATCTTATCTTGTAGATAACGTATCTTAAATTATAAAGCCAACCTTTAAAAAAAACTTATAACAACCAACAAAGACCAAATTACAATGGCTTAAGATAAATGATAGCAATGGATCATTTGATACTAGTTTAGACACTTCCTTTATTATTGAATGAAATTTAAGAAAAATACAAAATTTTATCGATCTTATTTCCGATTTAATAAGTTAACACATGATGTTGTGGTGTTTTAAATTTTAACTAATAATGGGTAACATAATTTGTATAGACTTAAGTAGGATACTATATTCTTTGTCTTTTGTATCCAGATTTTAAAAAATAAAATAAAATAAAAATATACTCGGTCTCATACTTAAGTGAGTAAAAACTTTAATTTTTTTTCTCATGTGGTTTAATAACTATATATTCATATTTTATTTAATTATAAAATCAATACTAGATATGAACATGTGTTTGTTTGATAAACCTTTAATGTGAATAATTTAGCCAAATTTCACCAACTAGTTTACTTTAATTATTTTCTTTTGATTAAGTATTAACTAATTATTTATATTTACCTAATGGTACAAGTTGTCCTAAATATTTAGGAAACAACTTATTATATGTAAATTGTTTGATAACTTGACTTTTAATCACTGGTGGTTAATGTGGGGTTTGATTTTGTTTTATATTAATTAAATAAATATTTTACAATTTAATTTGAGTAATTTTGCAGTTTTTTATTATAAAATTGTTAAAAGTATTATAATAAAATAATTATTTAATAAAAAATATATTATAAAATCATTATGTATTATTAAATGTGATATTCATAATTTTATTTTCATATGCTTCCATATTCAATTTAAAAATAATAATATATGTCCTAATACGTTTACGAGTATCACATTATTTACGAATTGAGATTATGGATAGTTTATATACACTTTCTACTCTCAATCTACCAAGATGCATTTTTCAGGATAAAATCGTGACGGACTAAAGGTTCAAAGCGAACAATATTTCAGACATAGGAATTGACCCTAACGATGATCATAACAGAGACCGCGACGATCTCATTCCTAAATAGAATATTGGACCAAGACACCTTGTAAGGACAAAACTATGACATACGAGAGTTTTAAGGCAGACAATACTTCAAATAATATAATTGACTTACTCATAATAATTGTCGTTTATGTTTTAATTTTAGCAATATATATATATATATATATATATATATATATATATATATATATATATATATATATATATATATATATTAATTTCAGTTTTTGGTTAGATCTTGATAGCACATATTTTGTACATACATTTATAACTTTATTGTATAGTGGATGCATTTTTTATATCCTTTCTATTTTAAACTTATTTTCATTAATTTGTAAGAATTTGAATTCAATGTACATATTTGCTTTAATTTTGTATTTTCAACTCATGTAACATTTTCTCACTAGTTTGACATGTAGATATTTTTTTTTGGTTGATTGAAGTTGCATTTGGATTCTAAATTTCTAAGGCCATGAAACAGATATATGGTTTACTAAATTTGGAGTTCTTTGTTATTTTCTACAATTTTTAAAAGTTGAGGTAGATTTGTTGAAATTTTATAAAGACCTCATATAAATTATATCTTCTTTGTATTAACTTAACTTTTGTGATTGAGTTTATAAATCTAATTAGAACCCACATTTATACTCTTGTTTACTTCATATTTGGGAGTCATTAAATAGACTAGAAATATACTCTAAACTCATATCCCAAAGTCATTTGGTTAAAATTTCAATTTAGGAAGTATCTCAACATTTTTTCTTCTCTCTTCTCTCTCATTTTCATGTTGACTCTTCCTATTCTCCCTTTTTCTTTTGGTTCGAACTAGTTTGTGTTCTTCATCCATTAGGAACTAAATCTTGATGATCAATTCACGAAATCAAGATCAAACAAGTTAAATTGAGTTTTGAATTGATTGTTTTTTACTCAAAGTTTATTATTCTCTTTTTTTAATTTTGGATTGAGTCAATTTATAATTCTATTTTAAGAAATCAAATTAGAAATTGATTGAATCTTAATTTTATAATAAATACGAAATAACTTGAATGATATTGAGATTTAATTTATATAACTGATTTAGTTTTTAATTGAATCGGTTAATTGTTCAAACTTGGATTGAAATATTTAGAGAAATATGATAAGGGATTTTTTTGGTTGCGAATTGGTGGATTGATCTTTGTTTGCATCTAGAATTTGGATTTTACTATTGGATTTGATTATCAATTGTGTTTCGTAATTTATAATACTCAAATTTAACTTGTACGAGAAAGAAAACTAAAAATTAAATACATTTCAATATGTGTCCTTGAGTATCATGACCTAGGCTTAAGCTTTATATTACAAAATCTTTGGAGAGAGCTTAGAATATTTGATTTCATCAACAATGAAATCAATTGTCAAACCAAAAACTAAACCTAGTGATTATAATTCAATACACGTGGGCATCATTACTTATACAAAATTCTTAAAATATTATCGATGTGGTCATACAAACTATAGGTCTTACCTAGTGATTATAACTCATTTAATATAATTTGAAACCTATTGGACATTTTTTGT